TGGTGACGAGCTCTGATACCATCTTCTTCAATCCATCTCTTTTTAAGATACATCTCATTATCTGACTCCTTTATATAACTAGTATGACTAAATTACATTTTCAATTTCCATCCAATATGCTCAAGATGTGTGTGAATCTCAATTACCTTGGTCTTCAGTAAAGCAATGATAGTCTCAATTTTGTTGATCTTTTCTGATATTCCTTCGATACTAACGGCTAAGAAACCGTTATACATCTCTTGTGCACTTTGACTAATGAATTTCTTCCTCATGGTCTCTTTTTTCTTCTTCAAATCTATCTCCCATGAAGTCATCTTATCAAAATCTCTCTCCTCTTAGACTTTAGGGCTAAAAATGATTCTGGGTTTAAAAAGATATGGGGTTCCTTCGCAAAACCCTTCTATTTATAGGCTTAAATCCCTCTAGTAACTCCTAGACACATCCTAAAACTGCCTTGGCATGTTTTAGTCAACCAATTGGCAGTTAAATCTTTTAGAATCTGAATTTTGCACATGGTTTTTAACTCTTGCGCTTAAGCACCGAATATTGGAGCTTAAGCGCCAATGTTCAATTTTGCACCAGTCAACTTAACGTCCAAATTCTCATTTTGGCATGTCTAGAACACTAAATAAAGTCTTAAAATCATTACTAACACAAAATAGTCTAAAAAATACTACCCCAAATTTTCTTAATCACACTCAAATAACATTCAAAGCAAAAACACACTGATAACTATGGGTTGCCTCCCACAAAGCGCTTGGTTTTACGTCGTCAGCCCGACGTAACCAGTGCTTATTCTGGTTGACCCAACATCATTCGATCGTTAAATTTATGCTGATCCTTTATAAAATAAGGTTTTAGTCTATGACCATTCACTTTAAACACTTTATCAGTTTTAAGATCTTTAATATCCACAGCTCCATAAGGAAAATATTTCATCACAACAAATGGGTCCATCCACCTGGACTTAAGTTTGCCTGAAAATAATCTTAACCTTGCATTATATAGCAAAATTTGTTGCCCTGACTGAAAATTTTTAGTAAGTATCCTTTGATCATGCCACATCTTCATCTTTTCTTTATAAATCTTAGCACTCTCACCAGCATCTTTCAAATTGTAATTGAACTTTTTAATCGCCCAATATGATTTATGCTCAATTTCAACTCGCAAAGGACAAGCTTTCCCAAATATTAGGCTATATGGGGACTTTCCTGTAGGAGTTCTGTATGCAGTCCTATAAGCCCACAAAGCATAGCCAAGTTTGGCTGACCAATCGATTTTTCTTGGATTTAAAGATTTTTCCATAATTCTTTTAATATCTCGGTTGGATAATTCAGCCAAACCACTTGTCTAAGGATGATAAGCAGTAGCAATCCTATTATTTATATGTTATTTCTGTAATAACTTCTCCATTATGACATTTCTGAAATGACTTCCCCCATGAATAAAGATAATTTTCGGCATCCAAAATCTAAAAAATATGTTCATTTTCAAAAACTTTGCAACACTTTGAGCATCAAATCGAGGTAAAGCAACAACTTTTGTCCATTTGGATACATAGTCCACTGCTAATAGTATACATAAATTTTCGGAAGATGGTATAAATGGTCCCATGAAATCTAATCCCCAAACATCAAATATTTCAACTTCTAGCATATAATTGAGGGGCATCTCATTTCTTATAGAAATATTGCCTACTCGTTGACATCTATCATAAGTTTTAATATAGGTTCCTTTTACTCCTTCAAGGATCAACGAGTTGTTCTTGGTGGATGATGTACCAATTTGCAAATCTGCTAACTTCACTCCAACTAGAGACAGTTTGACAGAGATTTTCAATTTTCTAAAGGACAGCGACTAACGTTGGAAATTGAAAAGTGATTCCAAGGTTAGTTTCTATAAAGTAAGATTAAATTCATCAACTCAGCCTTGGCATTTTTCATTTCTGCCTAACTGCTTCCTACCACAAACATAAAGGAAATGATGAAAGAAAGTGTGATCCTCAATTACTATATTCAGACTGGAAGACCTATTGATGTGGGGGAACTTATTTATAGTTCACTCATTAATTTTGCACTAAATGGATCTATGACTGGGCTTGGACACCCTGATGTTATTTTCTTAATTTGTAGTCAAGCCCAAGTCTCTTATGAAAGTTGGGAAAAAGGTACTTCTTCCCTGGAAGCCCATGGACTAATATATATTGATGTGTGACAACATTGATCTTTTTGCAGCACATGGAGGAAGTTCTTATATGGATTAGTCTTCTCGCCCTTCCACATTATCATAACCTCGACGTGCATATTGTTTGGATGGTAACTTGGAAGAAATCAAGAATATAACGAAGGAGATGTCATTGATTTACAATAGGATCAATAACATCACTGATAGATTCGATCATCTGGATTGACAGATGAAGCAATAGCCAGATGATGTTATTGTACTCCATGAGGCACAGGTCCAAATGTACAAGAAAAATTATTGGATCAAGGAAAATTTCAAGGAATTCCTAAATTATCCCTTCTACAACTTGTATGTGCATCATTTGCTTGACGATATTAGAGAAGTGAATAGTGAGGTTGATGATAATATGTATTGGATTTTTTGTAGTAACATTGATATGTGTTTATAAGATGTTGGTTTTGTAGAGTATTAACTCTTTTGTGTGCATGTGGGCTTTATAATATTTGAGTGTTCTTGTGCTTAGTAGTTTGTGTTTGAATTTATAAGTTATGTTTTAAAAGTCATGAGGAATTATAATGTGTGTTTGTGTGGGAATTGAATTTATATTTGAATATAAGTGATTGTTGATGTTTGTTAAAATTAGATGTTGGAAGTTATTTAAAAATGTTGAATTTGTCTTACTAGGGTTTGTTGTGTCTTGGTGTTCAACGCTCATTGTTAAAATTTTAGAAAAAATGAAGAAATCAAAATATGGGCACTAGCGCCTAGGCGCTGAAACCTGGCGCCTAGGCGCTAGAAAACCAAGAACCCGGTGCTTAGGTGCCAAAACTTGGCGCCTAAGTGCCGGTTTAGCTTAACTGACTCCCCGCCTCC